AAGCGCACCGGGGCGCGTGTGCGTGCACCTGGAGCTGCACATACGTATACATCACACAGGCATGCGTGCACGCGCGGGGATACACCCGGAGGGGCCTGTATGCGTACATACACACGTATGCATATATACATGGCTGTACCTATACATACGTGTGCACACAGGTATGTCTTGGCATATGGGTAGGCGTGTGCACCGAGGTGTAGGTGTGCATATGTTGTGCATGCCAGTGTGTATTCACATCCATGTAGGCACCCAGCTGTACACGTGCCTGTACATACATGTGCACGCTGGGGGCATGTTCACCTACGTGTAGGTGTGTGCACATGCCTAAGCATGGAAGTGCATGTCCACGTGCGTGCACACACAGGGCATATTCAACCCGGGGTGCGTGCACCCCTGTGCACACGTGTGCTCACACACGGGTGGACACGCGTGCATTTGTGCAGAGGTGTCCAGCTGTGTGCAGGCAGGCGCACCAGTGTGTGCGCATCGCCCTTCCATGCACAATGGCTGCATACGCACCGTGGCGCGGACACACACCGAGGTGTGCGCACGTATACGCACACGTGGAATGAGCAGGGGCATGTGCACGCGCGAGCAACCCCCCGCCTCCAGCTGCGCCATGCTCGCCCTGCTGTCCCCAGCTCGGTGCCGGCTGCCCCAGCACCTCGCGGGCACCCGCGACCTGCAGGCTGGGTGGGTGCTGGTGGTGCAGGGCTGGGGGAGAAGGGTGGCGGGGGCGGCTCACCCGCGCGGCTACTTTTTCTTGGGGAAGAAGCTGAACCGTTTCTCTTTGTCCTTCTTGGCCAGGCTGGGCTCCACAGCAGTGATGAGGGGCAGGGGCAGGCTCTGGGTTTTCGTCTTGATGCTTTGGGATTCAATTATTGCTGTGCTGAGGCTCTGCAGCCACGTGTGCATGTCCTCCTGCGGGCAGAGCACTGGGCTCAATGGTGGCTGCACCTAGCCTGGGCACCCCTGGATCCCTCTGGCCCCCCATGTCTGCTCTGTGGCCACCCCTCATCCCTCCAGGCACCTCCTACCACCCTGTGTCATGCAGGGCACTGCTGGCTACCCTCTGTCCCCTGGGTGCCACTGGCCACCGCTTGTCCTCGCTAGAAAACACCAGCCTCCTGGACATGGCCGTCTGCTGACCAGGGCACAGCCAGTTGCTCCATATCCCTGTGGGCATCGCTAGCCACCCCATGTCCTCCTGGGTGCTGTTTACCACCTTGGCTTCTCCTGGACACCACCAGCCACTCCCTGGGCACCACTGGCCACCCCATGTCCTTCCTGGGCACCACTGGTCACCTTGTCTTTCCCTGGGTAGCAACCCCATGTCCTCATGGGCACTGCTGGCACCTCCCACCCCCTGGCTGCTGTCAGCCAAGCCACCTCCCTCTGGACACTCCTGGCCACCCCGCGTCACCCCGGGCAGCACTTGCTGCCCCTCACCTCATCCTTGCCATGGAAAAGCCACTCGCTGCCATTGCCGAGCCTAGGAAAGAGCAGAGGTCCCGGGGAGGCACCGGCCCTGCCATGCCGCGTTGCCCATGAGCAGGCTTGGTGCCCTCGGGCCCGCCTGGATGCGCATGGCAGCGTCCTACCTCAATTTGAAGACGTGCTTCTTCTTCTTGTAGCCGGCAGCCACCTCGCAGAGGGCATTGCGCAGCCCGAAGGGCTCCTCACCGTGGTAGGGCACCCCCAGCGCGCGGCTCTTGGCATCCTTGTAGAAGGCGAGCTCGCCGCCACGCAGCACGCAGTACAGCGTGCTCCACGACCTGCGCCGCGACAGCCCCGTCACCGCGGCGGGCACGCGCCTGTGGGGCCCGCGGCGGCGGGGGGAGAAACCAGGGGCCACACCAACCTGTTGGAAGCCCTCTTGGTGGCCGCCTCAAGGTCATGCTTGCGGCCCAGGTAGCCCTCGAGCTGGACGCTCGCGCGCTCCAGCTGGGCGGGCAACGTGGTGGGCTCCTCGAGCTCGCTCCGCGGCTCCCGCAGGCCCGGTGCCACCGGCTCCTCCTGAGCGTGCGGCTTTGCTTCCTTCTCCTCCTCCTGGCCTGTCACCTCCCTCCGCACCGGCTGCCACAAAGGGACATGTGGGTGTTACACGGCGGGACACCAAGTGGGCCACGTGTCGCACGCCCAAGGGATGCCACGTGGCATCACCTCCTCCCCTGGCCAACTGTATGGGAGTCACCTTGGGGTGCCTAGGGCTGGTCACGGGCCTGCAGACCCCTGCCCACAGCATTTGCCACCAAGAAAATACACATGCCAGCACCTTGTGCCATCTTGTCCATGCCATAGTGGTCCCCTCTGCTCCCAGACCACCCCCTGATGGTGGTGACATGGGGCAGAGGTCCTTCCAGCTGTCTTTGCCAACCAACCTGGAGGGAGATGCCTCCAAGACAAGGCCCTGCCTTCCAGGATGGCCTCAGAGCCCAGCCCTAGTGCTGGTGGCACTCGTGGCATTGGCATCACTCAGCCTTGGATGAGGCTGGTACGCTGGTCTCATGAAGGGAGCATCGTCCCTGGTGCCAAGGGGGCTCTCCAGGGGGTTGGGCACCCACATGGCTGGGTGCTGGGCCCCCATACCTCTGGCAAAGGGACCTGTGGATCTGGGGCATGGGGAGGTAGGAGGCAAAGTGGGGCAGACACTGGTTGCACTGGCATCAATGAGCTGCCTCAAATGGGATGAGGAAGCAGAAATCATGGCAGAAGGGGGAGAACTGATGAGGATGGAGCTATCATCTCCCATCCACGGCACGAGCAGACCCTTGACCACGGAGCCACGAGCAAATCCTTGAGCATGGACGGCGAGGCAAAGGAAAAAAAACACCCAGGTAGTGGAGCTGGGCCATGGCCCACCCGGCCATGGGCTGGGCATCCCAGGTCTGGCTCCAGTTTTGAAGAGGAGATGATCGCAGCAGGCTGGGACTCCAGGAAGGGGATGTTGGGCTGTGAGCGGACATGGTTTGAGCATTCCGCAGTGTCCAGTGGCTCTTGCAAGTAGATGGATGAGATACCCATATGAGAGTGGGTGCACAGCTCTCTCCTCCTTTGCCTGTGCCTGGAGCCACGGGGGAGTTCCAGGAAGGTCCTCAGTGATCTGAGCCTTACGGCACAGCCCCAGGCATCTGTCTAGGCATCCTTGGGCCACAGCCACTGCAGGCAGCCACAGCTAGAGAGCACAGGGAGCAGTTGCACAATGCGTGTCGTGGAGAGGAGGAGGGATCCTGTCCCCAAGCAGCCAGAAGGTGACCGTGACCCAAGCAGGCAGCACAGGCGCCAGCACATCCTGTCCCCAAGCAGGGAGAGCAGGGTCCTGTCCCCCAAGAAGGCAGAGAAGGCAGGAGGGGGGACCCTGCCCCCAAGCAGGCAGAAGATGTCCATGTCCCTGAGCAGGCAGAGCGAGCAGAAGAGGATCCTGTGCCCGAGCAGATAGAGCAGACAGGAGGAGCAGAGAAGGCGGTGGTGAACGCAGGGCAGTTGGCACACGGGGTGACGATGCCGCACACGGTAGTGGTGATGGTGCCTCCATGGACATGTGCTCAGGTGCCGGCGGGGGCACAGCCAACTGGGAGCACCATTGCTGTGTGCTTGTGGGCAGCTCTGCGCCTGTGGGTGCAAGTCCTCCAGCTTTCTCCTGGGGCTTCACCATCAACAGAGGATGGATGGATCTACCCTCGGTGGGGCAGGCAGCTCCAGCGCTCTTGTCTTCCCCAGGGCACGCCACCACCTTTAGGTACCATCTCCCTGGGGCTCCCACGTGGCACTTCACAACCTCCCGGCCGCTGCCATGCTCCTGCAGAGGTGCTGGGCAGCCGCAGCTCTGCCAGCTTGCCCGAGCCCCGTGCCAGGGAGCCCAGGCCGGGCAGGGATGCAGCGAGCTGAGCTCCCCGTTTGCTCGCAGCACAGCGCGGCGCTTCCTGCCCGCGACGCAACAGAGCGAGTGCTGCCTGCAGCCTCTTCCCCGGTGCCAGATGGACCTTCTGGCTTGCCCACCACCGGCAGCAGGGACAGCCAGGCCCCCCTGCCCTGCCGACAGCAGCATCTTCAGGCTCGTAGCCCTGTGGGGCTTGCGTGGGTTGAGGCCATGCACCAGCGTGTTCCTGCCTGACCCGGCGTGCTCCAGGGGCAGAACATGCAGGGCACATTGCATAGGATCCCCTAACCCTGGGCAAGGCCACGTGGGAATGAACCAAGGCGCAAGGGAAGGTTTGGCCTGCATGCCTGGTGGCCGCCTGGCATTTTGGGGTTATGCCAACATTTATTTAACTCAAGGAGCAACTCAAGGCCTCAACATGCGGTTCACAGGCCCTTCCCTGGCAGATCCAGCACGAGGAAGGGAGGGAGAGCAAACATGGAGTGGGGACCAGGGAGCCATCAGCATGCCATGGAGGGGTTCATGGGGAGAAATCTGCCAAGTGCCTGTGGAAAACACAGGGACACTTTTGTGGTGCTGGGAAAGGAGAAAGCTAAAAATCAACTGACCGGTTCTGGTCCATGGGAGGCAGGTGGAGAGGCATCCTGCACTATTAAGCCCTTCTTCTTCTCCTCTTCCTCCTCAGACCTGTGGCACGGAAGCAGCCTTTTCAGGGACACAACCGCACACGGCGTCCCTGCATGGATGCAGGAGTGGTGGGGGGACTGTTTCAGAAGGGCGATTTTGTGCCTTGAGCTTCACAGAGCAACCCCCAACAGCCCAGGCCTGCCAGCGTGGAGGCAAATCCCACCATCCCACCAGGAAGCGCAGCCACCCCTGGGCTGGAGCGTGACGGGTGTTTAACATCCTGTAGTAGAACGGCCTTGAGTCCCAAGGAGAAGCTTGTCCAAGAGCAGAAAACAAGGATACGACCAGGTTTTTCCCTGTTATGTTCTTTTTCCACAGAAAAATAAAAGCCCCTGAAAGACGGCACTGAAGCAAGACCAAGGGTTGTGGTTGAGTCTTTGGCTCTCCTGTTTTGCTTGCATCCATTTACCTATGGGTGGTCTTGCTCAGAAAGGGTAAATCACTAAAAAAAAAATTTCATGTTTCGCTTTAGGGAAGAAGAAAGAAAAAAAAATGATGTTGAAACGTTGAAAATCACGCCCACCTTTAGACTTCATAGGTGAGCTGGGACCTCTTGGCTGCTCCAGGGACTAATCCCTGCCAGAGGTGCAACATGCCATTTGGGCATGTTGGCTGGCCCCTGTGCCCTGTAAAGGCACTTCTTACCCCATGTCCAGCTCAGCATCCAGATCCAAGTTGTAGTCGGGAGCCGACCTCCGCGTTGCCTTGCCCTGCTCCGGCTCCTCTTGCAGCTTCCGCTTGCCCAGGAGCTCAAGCTGCCAGGGAAGGGGGTAAAGATGTGAGCAGACAGGCTGTGGCCAGGAGCAGGGATGGCCATGGCAAGGGGGCTCTAGGGGATGGGGAAACTGAGGCAACAACCCATTCTCAGGGTGATCTGGGGCTGGCTGTGCCCATTCGTGATGGGGCTAGGCAGCCTACGGCACCCTGGGAGGATGCTGGAGCCTTGGTCTTCCTCACCGTGGTCAGCTTCCTCAGGGCAGCGAAACGCTCCTCCCAGGTCGCCGTGGACTTCTCAAAGGCCTCGTGCCTCTTGAGCAGTTTCTCCACACTGTCCACCGTGTGCCCGTAATCGCCGCTGGCCAGGTAGGGCTCCTGCGCGATGAGCCAGGCCTCGGCCACCGAGGCGTCCCTGGAGAACTGGCACACCTCCAGCACTGCAGGGAGGACGAGGGCCACCTCAGCCCTGTGGCATGGACATGTGCCACTCCGGTGGCCCCGGGGGAGCCAAGCCATATGGCAGCACCTGGCGGTGTCCCCCTCACTGCCCGCTGAACCACTGCCCTCTCCTTGCACTCACGCAGGCGTAGCCAGTCCAAGCGCCTGTCCCACGTCTCCATCATGATCCTCCTCCTCTCCACCAGCTCCACCAGCTTGGCCTTGATCTGCGGGAAACGCGAGTGTCATTGCTGTGGGATAGCTTCAAGCGGGCACCTCGCCAGGCCAAGGCAGGTGGCTTTGGGGACCAGAGGGGTCAGGAAACAGAGGATCCTCCAGGCAGTTGGCTCTCAGTCCCTGATCCTGTCTCCCAGTAAAACCTCTGCAAGCCAGGCTGGGTGCGGGGCTGCCAAGGATGTACAGGAAGGTTGGTCGGGCCAACACGTGATTTGTGTACCCTGTGGGTACCCCAGAAACCCCTGGCATCCATCCCCATGAGCCCAAGCGGACCTGCTGGATCTCTCCTGGGGCTGTGTTTGCCCCTGGCACCCCAGCACTCGGCATGGGGCCTGCCCCAAGCCGCAACCCGCCCTCACCTCAGGTGCCTCATGGTGCTTGCGTTGCAGCAGCTTCTTGCCCAAGTCAATGCAAGTGGCGAAGCTCTTGTCCCTTGTGTCAATCTCTGCCTTGATGCCCTGGTGGTACTTCATGAGCAGCTCCACAGAGGAGACGTCCCTTGGGAAGGAGAGGTGTCTGCATCAAGGCCACACACCACCACACAGGGCCCTGGGGCTGCGCGCCTGCTGCGAGCACCGTTACCTGGGCTTCTCTTGCGTCTCGATCTGCCGGATGATGCTTTCAATCCAGGAGAGGAGGTCCCGCACCATGCTGAAGAAGCGAAATTTCTCGGCCGTGTCCAGGAGCTGGGCCCGCCGTCCGCTGCAGGCCTCCAGCAGCGCCCTCAGGGCCTTCACCACCTCCTGCTCCTGCTGCTGGATGCTGTCGGCCTTCTCCCCAGCATATGCTGTCTGCAAGCGTGCCGCCACCTCCCGAAATTGCTGCACCTGCCCCACAGATATGGAGAGTGCCAGCGGGCTGCATCCCATCCTCCTCATGTCCTGCTTACCTGGGGACCCCATCACAATCCCTGACTCGGGCTTACCCGTGTCTCCAGCAGCTGGATGTCCCGCTCGAAGGCGGTGTGCATGCGGTGGAAAGCCTTGGCCGTGCTGGTGTCGCAGCCCAGGTCCTGGGGCAGCTCCTTCCGCTTCTCCGCAATGAGGGCAAGGATCTCAGAAGCATCGTAGAAGTATTTGTGCAGGTCATGGGAGGCAGAGAGGAGCTGCCTACGTGTGTCAATGAGCTCCAGGAGGTCAGCCCAGCTCTCGTTCAGCCCGTCCTTCCACTCGGCCATGGTGGCGGCCTCCGTGTGCCCCGCGTCGATGAGGTCCTCAATGGTCAAGTTCACCCGGTCCACGCGCTCCTGCCCCACGCTGCCAGTCTCCCACGCAAACTCACGAAACTTCTCCCGCAGCAGCTGGAGGGAGGGACGGTCCCACCTGTCACCTGAGGGCACGTGCTGGCCCCCAGCACGATGCCATGCCTTGCATCTCCCGCTCCAGCTGCACGCCAACCCCAGAAGCCCTCGTCAGACTCACCGTGGCGTGGTCAAAATCCTGCCCCATCTCCTGGGAGGAGGCCACCACATCACGCTCGGCAATCCACTGCTCCAGGTCCTCCACCTCTCGCTTCAGCTGGAAGAGGTGGCACATGTTCTCCAGCCTCTGCCGCCGCTCCTCGGCCGCCTCCTTCAGCCCCGCGTAGTGCTTGTCCATCTGGCCCTGCAGCCGGATGATCTGCTCCCTGCACGGCCCCAGGCACACAGACACCCCAGTTCTCACCCGGCATGGCCCCAGGCTGCCCGCGGTGCCTGCTCCTTGCCACCCAGCGGACCCTCATGAGACATTTAATGCACCAAGTGACTTTTGGGGGAAGAAAACCCACTGAAGGTACGTTTTGGGCTACCTAGACCCCCACATTGGCATCTCAGAATCTGGGGTGACCGGCGGAGCTGGGGGCTAGCAGTGCCACCAGCCCGACCAAGGTACCATGGCACCAAACAGCACCAGAGCTTCCTCAGGACCTAAACTTCACCTAACCACGAGCCTGCCAAGGTGCTGAGGACACCATGCGAACAGCCCTGGCCCAAGGGACACGGGTGGCACCTACCCCTCGGGGTGGCCAGCGGAGAGCAGCTGCTGAGCCCTCCCTGCCAACTCCTTGATGTTCTGGCCGTAGTCCTCAATGGATCGCTGCTGCCGGACATGTCTCTTCAGCATCACCAAGCCACTCTCTTCACCCTGCAGCAGCACAGACACGACCGTGGGGTATGGCAGGCTCAGGGGGACGGGGACCCAGCGCCTGCCCTTTGGAGACACATCCTGCCTTCATCCCAAGCCATCGTGAGCTCAGTCCCTGCTGCTGGCACGACATGGTAGGGCACGGTAGAGCATGGCATGACCTGGCACAGTGGATCCCCGAGAGGCCCTCGGGCATTAAATGGGCGTAAGTGCTGCCTCATACCTTGGGCTTCTCATCTGCCGTCATGTAGAGCTCCTGCTCGCTGATCCAGGCCTCGGCCTCGCTGGCATCCAGGTAGTACTGCTGGGCCTCGTTGGCCTCGCGCAGGCGCCGGAGGCGGTTGCTGGTCTCCGTTTGCAGGGTGTCCCACAGCCCCCGCAGCTCCCGCAGCTGCTCCTCCAGCTCCGGGCACTGCCCGCCGGCCTCTGCCACCATGGCGTCGCCCCGGCTCAGCACCTCGGCCACCCGCGGGGCATGGCCTGCCAGCTCCTTCTGCAAGGTCTGCCAGGAGGGTATCATGGGCAGGAGGCTGCGCCCACGCACGGCCCCGGTGTCCCTGAGCTGAACCACCATGGTGCCCGCCCGCTACAGCGCCCGCCCCAGTGCCCGGGGCCCTCTGCATCCCCCCAGTGCCCACAGGGACCAGCCTGGGTGATGGCTCAGGTGCCCGCCTCGGGCTCAAAACATGGTGCTGTGGTAGTGGAGGAGGAGGTAGAGGAGGGAGGGAACCCCCAGAAGCCTCGACAAAGGCAAAGGGGCCAGGGCAGAGACCCTGATCCAGTACCAAGTCCCATCCTGGTGCCCCGCAGCAGCTAATGCTGCTCCGCACAGACTCACCTCGTTCTTCTTCATGAGGCGCTGCACAGTTTGGAGGTCAGTGCCGTGGTCCGTGGACCTTGCCCGTGGCAGTCTCTCCTGCACCCAGAGCTGTTGGGCGAAAGCACCCTGCTGAGAGCTTGCGGAGGCCCTGCTGCAGCCCCTGCCCCATGGTGCTGGCCAGGCACCCTCGGGGCTCCCCACAGCAGATGCTGTGGGCATGGGGTCTCTGCTGGCCTCCGTGGGGCTCAAGGCTGAGCAGAGTTGGGGTGTTTGCCAGGAGCTAGCGGAGTTGGGATACTGGGCAGGGATGCTGGCCCAAGGAGCATGGGGGGTGCAAACAAAGGGTCCCGTCACGGGAGGGAGCTCACCGCCTCATCCTCCAGATCCCGCCCGAGCTGGTACATGGCCTTGTACGACTCCAATTCCTTCCTCCTCCTCTCCAAGGGCTCCAGCAGCTCGAGGAATCGCTGCTGGAGTTTCTGCTCCTGGCTGTCCGCCTCCTGCGCAGTCCCTCCAAGTGGGGCCCCTTGTGACACCAACTCTTCCATCTCTTTCTTTCGTGCTCCTACTTGCTCTTCCAGTCTCTGAAAGAGAAGAGTGGTGGTGTGGCCAAACCCTGTCTGGAAAGTGGACTTAACCCCACACCCAAACCTGTCTGGAAAGTGGACTCCCTTCCACACCAGCAGACCCCGACCAACAGAACCAACTTGGGCTCAGCCCCAGCCTTGCTTGTTCCTGGTGATTCCAACCTGCAATCTCAACCTGAGCTTGTGGCAGTCAGGTGATCCAGTTGGGTATTTTGTACCTATACCTGAAGGAAACCTTGAGGTGATATCCTTTTCTTGAAGGAGCTGGAGGAACAGCTCCACGAGAGTCTTTGATTCAAGGCACCAACAACTATGACAGCAATTTGCTGTATTATGGTAGTACTGGATGAGGCTCCCTGCCTGCCCTGGGGATGCGGCTGAAGAACATCCCACCAAGTCTCAGGCTGTGCCTGCATTTTCACTCCTTTTCCCAGGGTTTTGTGAGGAGAGCCTTCCCATGGAGCGACCACAAAGGGTCTGGGTCTTCCGACAACAGCGTGGCACTGCTGGGTGCTAATGCAGAGAAGGGCTGACACCCCGAGCCCACCCCGGCTTGCAGGATGCTTAGTGCTCCAGGCAGTTCTCAGCCTGCCACAAGGAGTTATGGAAGCTGCCAAGCAAGGGGATGGAGGTCTCGGTCTCTTCAACCTTGGGGTGCCATCCCACTCACTGTCAGCCTCTTCAGCAGCAGGTTGGTGCTGGTGAGGTCTTTCGCCTGCTCGGCGGCACGCAACTCCTCCTCCATCTCGCCAAGCCAACGGTCCAAGTCGCCATAGCTCTGGGCATACAGCTCTGCGCGGTTGACCTCGAAGAGCTGCTGGGCTTTCTCCTCGGTGGCCGCCCGTAGTTGGTCCCACAGTGCATGCAGCTCCCCCAGGCGCTGCGACACCAGCGCCCCATACTGCGGCTTGCGACTTGCCAGCTCCTTCCCTTCCTGCCAGCACACGAAGGGAGTTGGTGTACAGTGAGTCCCTGCATCATGCAGGCCAAACCCAGGAACCCCTGTGCTCCAGGAGGGAATCTCCCCACCCGCCACTTAGAGGAATGCTCCCACATCACCGCAGAGCATCCCTGGTGGCTTTTCCCTGCCTTGGCGAAGGTGTCAGAGCTCCCAGCCCTGCTGAAGCCATATGCCACCATCACTGGGATTTACCTTGTCAATCTTCTCCAGCCAGCTCTGGTTGGCAGCCAGCTCTGCCATGAAAGCCTGGTGCTTCAACCACTTGCTGTGGAGGCTCCGGGCTGTGCCGTAGGACTTATCCTGCGCCGTCAGCATCTTTTCGTTGATCCAGAGGGTGAGCTGGCAGAAGGACAGAACGGGCGTCATGGCTTGGGCACGCTCGTAGTGCTATGGAGCCCACAGACCCTGGTGCCCGGGTGCACCCTCACCCAAGGCCCAAGACAGGGCAGGACAGCTCAGAAGATGCGAATATAACATGTTCCTTTGGGCCCTGAGGCTACCCCATACCCACCCGCGCCTGCTCTTCCCATACCTCCTGCCAGTTCTGAAGAAAGGTCTGCAACTCGTGGTTGTCTTGCAGCAAACCTGCCGCCTCCTGCGCCTTGGTCACATTTGCCCTGTGCCTGAGTGGGACAGAGAAGGGCAAAATCCACTCGTCTGCCCTGGAACAGACCTTGTCGACCCCTTGCCCTCCATACTGAGGCTGGACTCACCTTTCCTGCAGGCTCTGACACTTCTCTGTGATCTTCTCAGAGAAGATGTTGCCATCAGCCACCAGCTTGGCGCCGCTTGCCACCGTGCTGGGGATCTTCTCCTCACTGCTTTCCATGCCGGTACGGAAGTCCTCAAACCTCCGCAGGGCAGCGGCCGAGCCCTCCAGTGTGCCGGGCAGCTCCAGGTGAGCCAACGTGTACTCCTGCAGCACGGAGCAGCTAAGTGCTGCGGGCCACCGCCACCATGCGTCGCCCGATGTGACCACAGCCACCCCCCTGGGGGTGTCACCAGCCCTCAATGTGTGCGGCGCCCCAGTGTGGCCTCCCCAGTATGGGCCCAGGAGAATGGCTTCATTGCCTGCCCGGATCCAGGTCCGTGCCAAGATTTAGGAGCCCTAAAGGCCATTTAGGGCCAAGAGCTGGCCATGCCTGACATGGTGACATCTCCACGGCCACCCTATCCTTCCGCATGGGGGATGCCTCCACCCAGGGTGGCTGACAGACATGGCTTGTGCTAGCAAGAGCCACCTTGGGCCACAGCACAGACCTCCTGTGAGCACCAAGGCCCCTGCACCTACCTGGTTGCTGAGGAGGACTTCAGCCTGCTTGGCGTCACGGAGAAACTCCTGGAAGCCGAGGCACTGGGTGAGGAAGCGGTGCCGGGTGTCCCATATCTTGCGCAGCGCGCCCCAGCCCGTGTCCATGCCCTCCAGGCGCTGCCGGAGCTGCTCGTACTCGGGGTCCGCCTGGCCCTGTGTCACCCGCTCGCCCATCTCCTTCACGTTGTTGTAGGCGGCCTCGTGCTGCTCAATGTCCTCCTGGGCGGCCATGTGCTGCCGGAGGAGCTGCTCAACTTCAGCCAGCGACGCTGGCACCTCATCCGAGGCGACGGCTTTCTGCGCCCCGAAGAGCCAGGCCTGGAAGTCGTCCAGGTCTTGCAGGAAGCGCTGCAGCTTGCCAGCTTCACCCAGCGAGGCCGCCTGGCTCTGCAGGGCGCCCTGCAGCTCCTCCCAAGCGGCTGTCGTGGCCCCCAGGCGCTCCTGGATGTCTGCTGCCAGGTCTGGGTGATCCTCGGCCAGGCGCGGGGCTTGGGGCCGCAGGCTCCCCAGGCGGCTCTCAATGGCAGCCAGTTCCCGCTCGATGCCGTACAGCTTGCGCTGGATGGCCAGCACGCCGGCCAGGTCCCGGCCCATGTCCTGCGTGGATTCCACCACACGGGTCTTGCTCAGGATCCACTTGCAGGTCTCCTCGCAGTCCACGCAGTAGTTGAGCAGGCTCAGCGCCGAGTCCACGGCTTTCCGCCGCTGGGCCACCAGCTCCCGAAACCTGCCCCATCTGCACAGCAGAGAGAGTCAGGGCCACTCTGCCCAGACGCTACTGTGGCTTGGCCAGCTGCAGGGCCAGGTGGTGGCCACATGGGGACACTCATACCCTGCAGCATGAGTAGCCAAGGGTGTGGGAGTGAGGGAACAAAGTCCCAAACATTCAAACCCATTTGCCAACATCCCCCAAGCTTCCAGCAGAGCGATCAAAGTGCCCAAATGCAGAAGGAGCTGCCAAAATGGTTCAATCCCCTTCATCTTTGTGACGCACATACCTGGTGTTGAGCTGCTCCTGACACTGCCGGACCTGGGTGCTGCGTGGGTGCCCACCCTCAATCAGGCCATCGGCTGCCCGGTTGATACCATCAATTTGGGAGGCCAAGCTGCTCATCTCCTGCTCCAGGTTGTCAAGCCTGTCAAGCACAAGGGCTAAGAATGGGCCCCACCACGAGCCGTAGGTCTTGTCCCTAGAAGTGGCAGGTACCCATCCTCCCTCACAGAGCCCGTACCTGTGCTGGACCACATCGAGGTCCTCCAACGTGCTGGGGACCTCCATCTGCTCCAGCCACGTCTCCTTTGAGCCCATCCAGAGCTGGCAAGCATCACTCTCGCTGAAGATGGTGTAAAGGTCCAGGCTGTCCTGCAGCTTCCGTCGCCGCAGCTCGGCCAGGCTCGCCACCTCGCTGTAGAGCGGCCGCAGGGCCGCCAGGCGGCTCTGGGTGTCCGGGTCAGCGCGCAGCGCAGCAGGGAACTCCTCGGCTTGCTGCCCCAGGCTGCTGAGAAGCTGCTCAGCTCTAGCCAGCTCCTCCAGCAGCTCCTGGTGCTTCTTCACCAGCGCCCGCGTGGAAGACTCGTCCTTGCCCAGCTCCTCGCTGCCCGCCAGCCGCCAGGCATCC